TAAAAATTTCCTGAAATATTTTTGACTAAACGAATAAATTTCTAAAAGGCGTGCAATTGATAACGAATTTCAGAAATATTTTTTAGCTAATATTATTTTAAAAAGTACTGAAAAAGATATTTTATCTGTCGGCGAGCGAAAGAAAGAGAGGGAAGTGAGAGATTTCACGTCGTGAGTCATGGTACTGTTTAACGCGTACACAATTATTATGTATCACGTTAATTTATTATTAACCTAGACACATTCAGCGTCATCCTCTGTCTCTCCGTAAAAGATGTTCTACATTAAATTTTTAACAACTTATTCGTTCGTTTTGTTAAATTTGTTTTGTTAAATAAAACTTGTTAAATAACTCATTTATAAAAAATTGACGAGCGATCCTCGAAAAGGTGAAAAAGAGATAATATCGAGAGATAATTTAAAATTTTTTAAAATTATTTGAAATCTCCATCGCATATAAAACAACGATGACCTTGTTTATAAGTAAACATTAAATACGATAAAACTTGTATTACATAAAAGAATATATAGATGCCTATATGAATCACGAACATACGTCATTGTATAATTTATATGATACGTTCAAATAAAAAGATAGTGAATCATTGAGGAAAAATAAAATTATCTCATTATCTTACATGAAATAACGATCAGTTATTTTCGATCACGAAAAATGTATTTACAAAAAAAAAAAAATAAATAAATAAATAAAAAAAAATAAAAATAAAAAAAAAGAAACAATAAATTATCTCCATAAGAAAAATACTGAAAATCTTTTCTACTGCAGGAAAAATAATGCCATCTGATGGCCACTTGTTGTATTAATCGTTATTATTGCTCCTTCGTTAAACGCACTTGCATAATGATACTTCAAGTCCAGGTTTTTCTAAGTTTGTGGAAAAAGTGTTTTCATTTAGCATTCCTTTAATCTTTCTGGAAAGAACACTAACAAATCTTTCATTATCGCCACAAAAAAAAAATGTAAAATTAGGTTAAGTTCCTTTCTAACAAATGTTGTCTCGAATATCGCGTTAAAAAAAATTAATTTCTATGAAACATTAAATTAGAGGGAAAAATAAATGGAATATCTTTATTAGTTTCTAAAAAAAAAAAATTAACAAGAGCATGGACAATGACATATTTTTTTTTTAAATTTTGAATAAAATAATATAATAATATAATATAATAATAATTTTGACATTGGTTATAAAATTGAATTACACATTTTGAAGTCAAGATAAAATTAGATATGTTTAAAATTAAGGATTAGATATATCGATCGATACGATCGATAAATTATTAGAAAAAAGTTTTTTATGCAATATGTGCAAATGATAAGGATATTAAAAAGAACATTGTCTCTGATAAGATTATTGGAAATTTAATACAGTTGTCATCATCGAACACGAAACTTTTAAAACACTTAATAAAATTCGTTTAAACAAGGATTTCAAATAGCATATTTTGTATACAAAAATATACAGTCTATCATATTGTCCCATAAAAGATAATTCGTTTAAAAATAGGCTTACACTTGTAATTTGAATCGTTCTAAATTATCAGGGAATTCAATAATTAATCGAAATTAAGTGAAATTTTATAATGAAAAAAAGATGTCTGTTCGAACGACAGGTTAGAATCTTTCGTATATTATATATATAGAATATGATCCATTGTTTTCAAATTGTTATATATAAAAATGAATATAGAAATAATGATTCTTCTTCTGTTGAACATATCGTTTTAATCAGCACGTTGAAATTATAAAAATAAATTAGAAAAAAAAAAATTTCACAATACATTTCATATGAAATAAGCCATATCTGAGATTTTGATATAATTGTAAAATACAATTATATAATTTAAAAGATGTGCATTAATTATTAATACAGAGAAAATATATGTATATATTTTTATGAGAAATATAAATAAATGTTTTCTTTTCGCTTTACCAATAAAATTTACGTTGATTCAATTTAATTTTAATCACATCAAGAAGATAACACGATAGATTCTAAAAAGAACTTCTTTTTGCGCAAAGCAATCTTCCAGAAATTTCGGCTGCGAGATTATTCTCGATATTGTCCCATTTTTCCCCTTCTTTTTCGTTGAAATAATCTAATTCACTTGATTTATTCTTAAAAATAAGATGTATATTTCTTTCCACTATTCCTATTTCGACGATTATATTCGACGATTTTTCTTTTTATCTATTTTTTTTTTTTCTTTTCTTTAATCGTAAATTTTAAAAATGACGTGCTTTTATGGATAATTAAATAGTGATTTCGAAAATTTAAATCGCTTGAGAAATATCGAATGGAAAATATATGCGAATCGGCAACAGAAGGAAGGAAGGAATAATCATTTAACTTTCGATAAATCATAATAAAAGCGATATGAATAGCCGATATTCCGTGTTCTATCGGTATGAAAACACCAGGTAATTCGCAAGGGGAAATCTAACTGACACAATTGATCCCTCATTCCGCGAGTCAACGAGTTCTTTGCACGAAAATAAACGGTATTCGATTTAATCCCGATTATCGATTTGAATAAAACTTTTTGGAAGTTTCTCGTCTCTTATTTTTTACATTAACGAAGTGAAATTGTCGAGTAGTAAATATTAGGTTACAGTAAGTAACGCGATATGGGAATTTTATTATTCGAATAAATGAGGTTATGGTACGAAATTAAATTATCGACTAGTGATATTTTTGTGGACATTTCAAATATTTGTAAAAAAATTGCAGAAAAGAAAACACTGACTTCTTCGTATTAAAAAATTTTTTCGTACGTATTCTGATCGATATTTCTTGTCATAATCGTGTCTTGTTAAATCAACTTGTAATACAAACTTGTATATACAATCAAGTGAAGAATTTTAGGAAATTTTAATACAAAATATCAAAATCCTAAAAATCGAATGTTGGATGTTTCACTCTATGAAGTCATTTCAAACTCATCGAATTGAAATACAAGCTCTAAATCGAATTGTAAGTCGATAATTTATAATGATCATTTACAGGCTATTACGGTCCAAAAATCACAATGGCTCCCATCTAGTCGAAATTGTATGGTTGGAATTGCTGTTAATTAAACGCATACACTATTTCGTTTAAGCACAACGAGGCATGGGTTAAACAATTATTGGTCCTGTAGTGGAACGGGACAGTATAAATATCACAATTAATTGACCACTTCACTGATGAAAGTGTCAGGGTTCAAAAGCTTTAGATTCATTTTTATCGTTAAGCGGCATCGCTTCACTCCTTGCGCAAAAAACTTGCTAAATCTGCAACTTTTCATCAAATCCGATAATATTCTACGGCATTAGATATGTTTAAATCTTCCGCGAATTAGAAGAATCTGCGAATATTGTCTATATTTACATTTTCCTAAAATAACAATAATGATTAATGAAAGACGTTTTGTCAAACATTTTTCGATAAATTAAATAATTTATTCACTAAAAATTAATTAATTAAAAATACTGAGAAGCGGAAAATACAAATCTAAGCTTATATAACATCTTTTGATACAGATTTTCGTATTATTTCGACCCTTCACCTTTCATTTTTTGTTAGATAATAAATAAGAAATTTATATTTTTATTTTATTAATTAATTTTCGAATAATTATTTTATTGTCACAATTCATTAAGATTACCTATTAAATATATATTTATACTTATTAAAAATAAAAACATAGTTAATTTTTATAAATGCATTAAAATAAATAATTTCAAACTAAATGTCATTTTCATTGCTAACATGACTTTGCTAAACGCAAGAAAATCTTAATTAAACAAATGGCATTATGATTTTACTTTTAATTAAATAGCATGAGAACTATTTTTTTGTTGATTGCGTTGTGTGAATAATTAAAATATATGAAGCAATAAAAGAAAACAATATAATTAACATTGGTCGCAAACAAATACAATTCTCACTAATTCATAAAGAGAGAATAAAGGGTCGATACCTTCGTTTGAAATGTTGCAAAGTTCATAATTTTCGCGAAATTCGTGACGAATAAAGAATATAGAAAAAAAGCAAGTAACATTTATTTAAACATGGATAGTACCACAGACGCTCACAATCAGTGAAATTTTATTTCGAATTATTTATATTAGACTAGATTTTTCAAAATCTCTTAATCTTTTCAGTATTAAAGATCAATCAACGAAATTGATCAGCGTGTTATGAATATATGCAATAAACGCACATGGACATATGTACTATATATTATGTAGGTAATACGTTACGTAAACGATAAATTACAGCATCAGCAGAGTTAAATTAGACTTAGAAATTTAAGATCGAGAAAAATATCATGTAAAAAACATTAATTTTTTTTAGAAAACTTTTTTCTAGAAATATATGATTAAATAATATGATATAATCTTTATTTTTAAACCAATTTTTTTTCTTGTAAAAGACAAAATTAATTGAATATTATTTTCGATTCTTATCAATTTTGAAATTTTTTTTTATAACATATCTTTGATATAATTTGATATCTTTTTTTCATGAAGTATTGATATCTTTTCTTTTATATATGTTCAATAAGTGAAATGAAAATGGACATTTATCCGGTATTAAACAAAAATGTCAGTAAAAATTTCTTTCCATTCATTGGCTCGAAAATGATAAAAAAAAATGAATTTAATCTTCTTATAAATTCAAATTTTGTCTATAATCAAAAATATCGATACTTTATTTAATTATAAAAAATTTCTCATTAAAAATTTCTTATTTTTATTATATAATTTTCAAATGTCAAATATTGAAAAAAATAAACATTTATTTACAAATCAAAAACAATATTAACATTAATACTTCAATAATAAAGATAACGAACATGAAAATATTCTGATAATGACAATACCAATAAAATATTAAATTGATCGCGAAACCTGCGCAATCATATTTTTTTTTTTTTAGAAATCATTTCATTAGAATGTATTAATAATTTTGCGCTGAATATACTGCAATAACGACTGCAATAAAGATTATCCGTTTCGGACAATGATCTTAAAAAAATAAGATTATATATATGTACATTAATTATTATTTACTATATCTTTTCTTTTTCTAACCTATCATAAATAAAAAATGTTTTATTTTTTTATGCTATATTTTTTCCAAAGAACATTGCACAAAAAATAAGCATATCGTTAAGAACCAACTAGCAGAGATGATATGCAGAATAATTGAAAAATGACTTTGCACGTGCATACATCCATGTTGTGATTACTATTTTATGTAAACATATCATATATATGTACGTATATGTGTACACGCGCGCACGGATATTTCTGTTTAATACATTTCTTGTGTATATGACATATTTTTTTCTCATCCTAACGTAATAAGTACTATATGCGTAATAGCATAATATATCAGATATTACAAAACACCCACGCGTATAGCTTGATGTGGATGTTGATCTGTATATGAATGTATATACATATAAAAAACAAGGAAAGAATGACGAAAAAGAGAAAAGAAAGAAAGAAAAGAAAAAAATTAAGAACGTATTTTTCACGATATTTCAATATTTCACTTTTGCCTTAACCTCTTCTGCGACTCCACCCCACCTGAGCTTATAAACGCGCGATCGCCATTGTATCAGAGGATCTAGAACTGCCTGAAGGAAAAGATAAGGCCTGGTGATTTCGCTCAGTAACCATCCACATACAAATTCTAATTTATTGAACGGTAATGGGCCATTTTGCACGACGCTCAATAGCGTCCAATCGAACATGAACCACAAAAGTATGTGTACTAAATAGAAAACAAGGGAGTCCCACTCAAAAAGTACGCTGGCTGCCCAGGAAGCACAGGCACCTAATACTAAACACTCGCTAAGTGGCTCCAGAACAATCATGGTAGGCAACATAGCTACCCTGAGCTTTGCCCACCTTCGTAATCTCGCCTGAAATGAATGTAGCTCACAATGACCGCTATTCTGTAACGCTGGCTGCGATGACACTGTGATACGCCAACCACGATCGGTCAATGACTTTGCATAGAAAAAGTCCTCTGCTAAATATACACCGAATGTCTTTAATCCACCGACCTCGTCAATTGGCGCTTTCCTCAATAAAGCTGACATACCGGTATGACAGTTTATCCTAAGTAAATCGGCGGCAAGATACATACGCGATTGTACGGTACCAAAAAAGATTTTCTCGTATGCTGCGGCAAAACCTTCACGATCACAGGTAAACGGCATTTGATGTACCAATGCAACATTGTCAGTCATGTAATTAATCATATCCAAGAGTGTATCCTCTTTCATCTTGATACCACTGTCACTGATCAACACAAACTCATGCTTGGCCGCCTCGTATGCTGGTTGCATATTGTTGATCTTTGGATTTACACCTACATTACAGCCACCGATAAAAAGTTTTGCGTCCACTTCTGGATACTTCTCAATCAATTTACGCACTAACATTAACACAGGATCCGAATCATCTTCCACACAAAATAATAATTCGTAACGTGGATATTGCATGGTGAAAAATGTCTCTAAATTACTGAATAAATTCGGATCAACGCCCATCAGTGGTTTTATGATTGATACACCGGGTAAGGGCGTTTCGTAGGTTGGTACTTGAGTAATTTTACGATGTAGTTTCCAGTGACCAGCAATCAGTGCCAATACATGAACAATCCACATCACTGACCAGAATATCATGAAAAATATCGCAAACCCGTAGAGGGTATATATCATGGAGTTCATTTTCAAGCAAAAATCCTAAACATTCGGAGGCCTAACCTCCGGGACTCCTAGCTCACCTCACCACTTTGATGTCTTCTTTCTCTCTCGTTTTGTGATTATTCGATTCTTCCGTACCTATCAATTCGAATGATAATCTGAAAGCCCGCCATCCTTTTGGGACGAGTAAATGACATCCGCCGCATTCTTGACGACGTTTTCGTCGTGCCGCGATCACGGATGCCGTTGAAAAATCGCGCGGGCCATCGATGATGTAGCGTTTTTGGCAATTTCCACAATGTAACACCGTTTTCACGGCGATTACAACGATGACGACGACGAGAAAGACGTGGCCACTGCTTCCAATACATTCACGCACTAACTAACCCCGCGCGGCTTATACGGTGGCTACGTAACCGCGTCCACGGTTACTAGCACTTGAAAACGCCGGCACGCTGTGCCGACGGATATATACCAGGCTTTATATACTTCTTTTTTTCTTTCTTGTTCACTTTTCACTGCGACAAGGATTGCCCTTCTATTCACAATTACTGATACCGAAGCACCCTCTTTGTCGTCACGTACCAACAACGATCCTCCCCAATTTTCACCAATACATTCATGAACTTCACTTCTTTCACGCGGGTAGTTTTAACGACACACAATAGACGTATGTTCCTTGTATTTGATGCGTTTTTTCTTTAATAGTTCTTGAATAGTGCCAATCTTTTATTCCCTAAATATCTTGTATGAAATAGGATCCAGAATAAAAGCGTTTCCTTTTTGCCTCTTACCTCGAATGTACAACGCCTTTCGATAATTGACACTTCCTGTGTTTCCTATGAACATTTAATAACCGAAGTTCACCAATCCTTCAGAGTGCAATGTATATAATGTCAAGATAGGACGTTCAGTTTATATTCACGGACGACTGCTTCCTTTCATAACGATGCGCCTACGCGGCCTTGTCCTGTTCCATTCCAACCGCAACTACGGCACTGCCATCGCGTGCCGATGCATGTCATGTCGATAATCAGACTTCTGTTGGTCGATTCGAACCGATTATAATCAAAAAATCGAATAGTAAAAGCAAAAGGGAGACAAAATAGCGGTTTAAACAATCGAACGCGTTTTACACGCAACGACGCACCGCCAAGCGTCGACAGGATAACTGGCTGCATGTGACAGCCGGCAGCTCTAATTCGCTACTAAGTTCAGACTGAACGCGTTGACGGCCGCTACAGTCAACTGGCATCTAGCGCCCGCGAGTCACCATTTTTATAAAAAATTTAAGACTCAAATATGTTGTTATCATACGACATAGATTTTTTAATCAAAAATAAATGAATCATTTGATAATAAAATAATAGATATTTGTTTTGTTGGATATATTATCATATATCCATAATTTTATATTTTATTTTTTGACAAATTTAAAACAGAATTAATTAATCTATTAAATATTTAAAAAGAAAGTTAAATTAAATAAAATAACAAGATTAAAAGCAATAATTTAAGTTTTTAATTATTTTCTTTATTATGCTATAATAACTAATATTAATAATTATTTTAGCTATATCAATTGTATATATAAAATAAATTTAATGTATGTTACATTATAACATATACATCAAATTTTATAATATAATTTATATATATAAAATAAACATGAAAAATATATACACAAATTTATATTTTCGGTTTATTTAAGTGAAATCGAGTAAATATAACGTTAATAAACGTATACTACAGGTACTTTATGATTATCGCTCCAGACCAACAAATTTATCAGGAATATTTTTATCGCATTCTTTGTGTCAACTATCCATCGGATAATTTACATTGGCGTAAATTGTATTGCTAACACATAAATCGTGCAAACAGGCGTATTAGATATACAAAGAATAGAGACCTATGAACTATGTTACGAGCAATGCAAATTATTAATTCTTGCTCTTTAAAAAACATAATTAAGAAACAAAATGCAGAGTTCATATTTAAATTGAAATTTTTTTACATAGTAAAAAAATGATATTTACTTTGAAGAAGATTTTTATACACATATAAATATCGAATTAATTAGTAAACAATGATAAATTTGAAATAATTTTATATATACATAATTAAAATTTACTATGCTCTAAATTTTTTAAATAATGGATGTTTGTTTGCTGTAGATGAACTAGGAGCTTTTTTATATTCATAATAAACTGCATCATCTGCACCAGACATTGATGTCATGTTTCCAGCTTTACGTACAATCTGAAATAACAATAATTTAAATAAAATAGAACAATATATGATATTATGATTTGATTAACATATTTTTTAATGTCAAAAAACTTACAGGTCTTGGACCTTCTCCTGGTATTCTTTCTTCGTCTGCATCCATATCACTGGCAGATAGGACTTGTTGTAACAAATGTCCTTGTTCTTCTCGAGATGTATACATCAAATCTGGCTCCTATTTTAATAATTAAATTAATAATTAAATTAATAAAATTTGAAATAATTTTAAAATATTTTTATTTAATTATTATTAATTATAATAGTGTTCGGTTAATTATCATAGAATTAGAATCAAAATGTTATTTATCTGAATAATTATTCTAAAAATTATTAATATGGAAAAAAATATTCGTATTTTATTTTAAAATACATATTTAAAAATAAATTTTAAAAGTATATGCGTATCTGGAATTGGAAAAATTAGAGTTTTACTTCCAAAAATTAGTTAAAAGATAATTTCCTAATAATTAAACAAATAAAGTATTATTATTAATGAAATATTATTTTAATATGTACCTCTTCCATTCCTGCAAGTTTTGTAATGACTTTATAAGCATATCCTTGATTGACAAGGAAACGTTGGCGTTTTCGCGAGTAATTCATTTCCATCGTATCTTGCGATACTAACGTATAAAAAAATGCATTATATTCCTCCGCAATGGCACCTATAAAAAAGCATAATAATATTTACAATTAATATGATTAATAGATTTTATGTAAAATGATTTTAAAAAAACTATACCTTTTTTAGCTCTTAAAATTCGTCCTAAACGTTGTGCTTCTTGACGCCGTGAACCACCGTGTGAAGATATTTGAATCAATACATTAGCTTCTGGTAAATCAAAAGAAGTATCAGCTACTTTACTGACAAATATAGTATTCACTTTAGTATTGAATTTAAAGTTTTGCAAAATTTGTATTCGTTCACTCTAAAATTAATTTTATCGTTATATATCTTACAATTGTTGCAATTTTCTTTTTTACGTTTATACTTACTTGACTAGTGGGCCCATAGATATACGGTTTATTCATTTTAATAGCATAATGCTTCAAAGCAAAAACGTTATCCGAGAAAACAATGGTTTTATCGCCACGCCTTTCATGATATCGTATCAAATATTGGCAGCAACGAAATTTATTAGGATTCATTACATAAAGTAACTATAAATAGAATAATATTGAAAATTCAAAAATATTATATCAAATTAAATTAAATTAAAATTAAAACCTACCAATTTTTTACTCATTTTACAACCAAGATATTCTCTATAAAATTCAGGTGTCATAGGACACCAAACTTCGGCACATTGTACTCTTGCAATAAAACCCCTTTTTTGTAATTCTAACCAGTTGGCCTCGTACAGTTTAGGCCCAATCAGAAAATTGAGATCAGCAATTTTGTCATCTTCTCGAAGTAATGTCGCGGTCAATCCCAATTTACAATGAGATTGAACAATTGTTAAGACTCTTCTAAACATTTTTGCAGGAATTGTATGTACCTCTATAAATATAACAATATTAAATAATTTAATGAAAAAATATAATTTTTTCAATCAATTTAATCTATTAAAAAAGGTATATTGCCATCTAAAACCATAATTCCCCATTCTTGTTCTTGAAGCCATCGCATAGTTTGTTCTGCTTCCCATGAACGTTTCTGAGTATGAGTAATCATAGAATATGTTGTAATTAAAATTCCACAACCCATAGGCTTATCTTTCGCTTCGCTCGTAAATCGACAAATCATTGAATCATCCGCAGTAGACCACATTTTAAATTGCTGCTTCCATTGTTCTACCGACACTCCAGAATTACATAATACCAATGCACGTTTTCGAACTGTACAACAAGCTGTTACTCCAACTAAACTTTTGCCAGCACCACAAGGTAAAACTATGACTCCCGATCTAGCTCGTCCATTTCCAAACATTTTTCTTAAACTCTTCTCCTGATAGGGTCTCAGTACAGCTGATGGTTTCAAGTCAATGCTAAAATATAATTTATTAATTTTTAAATATCTTTTATCATTTGTATTAAATATAATTTTATTATATATACTATTTTATTGTACTTTATATCTGGATTTATAGTATCATTACGAAAATCATATTCTGCTAATAAAGGATATTCCAATTCAATACATCTTTTTTGTATAACTTCAATTTTTTCCTGTAAAAAAACTTTTAATATAAATATTTATGAATTTTTTACATTTATAAATTTCTTATAATCTCAAATAAAAATTCAAAAATACCTGATTTACTTCAAAGCTAACTGTTTTTAATTCATGCTCTTCTTCTTCATCTTCATCCTCTTTATCTATTTTATCATAAAAAGTAGTTATATCTTCAGGAACAGTAGCTGTTTCTGCTGGAACCTGATCATTAGTTGGTTCTGTTACTTTGGTAGTTCCAGTAGGAACATTAGTTATGGCTTTTGCTCCAAACTAAAGAATAGAGATTATTAATATTATATTTCATTAAAATAGTGATATAATTAATATACAATTATACCTGTGGTGTTTTTGTTTTATTTTGAACATTTGTAATTATTTCATCTTTATCATCTTCTACATTTTTCTTTAATCTACATTCTTGAATTACAGGATCTTTCAATAATCTTTGTAATACTTCTGGATATGGAGATTCAACAAAATATTTATTGTGTTTTAATACTAATTTTACTTTACCATATGACAATGTACATAATTTAATAAATTCTATAATCCCATCAGGAATGCTGGTTTTACTAAGTCTTTTTAAATATTCTATTATATCATGTGTTTGAAGACCAACACTTACAGCAGCATATAAAGAATAAGCAGTTAATTTATACTGAAACATAAAATTTAAAATATTATAATTTTATAAATATTATATAAATGAATTTGTAATAGTATTTTTACTTCATGAATATGTTCTGGACGACACACAGGTTCTGAGATAGCAATTAAAAAGTCATGAGCATGTTTATATACAGGTGAAAAAGATTCCAAAAAAATATGTCCATTTGGTGCCTAAAAATATTTATGTAATAATAAAATAATTCTTATATTTAAAAAATTATGAAAAATAAATTAATTTTAATGTCTTACCACCCAAAGTGGTCTTAAAGCACAATCAGGTTTTAAAATCATTTGTGAACGATAATCTTTTGCACCAAATTCATCTTCCAATGCTGTATCATCTTGTTTTTCAACATCATTTTTAGCTGCATCAGGTATACCTTCAGTTTCATTATCATCTAAGGTATCATCTTCATTGTATTCTTCTGGATCTTCCTTACGTTTTTTCCATTTACCTCTGTCTATAAAAATAAATGATAGTTTTTATTGCAATATCAAACAATTTTGTTTTCTTTATACGTAGTATAATTTTAAATTTTAATTTATAGAAAATGTTATAAAAGTAATAAAATTAATAGTTAAAAAATTGTAAAATTTTTTAAACTTTTTAATTTTAAAATAAAAAATAAGTTTATACCATTGTCTTTTTTGAAACGTTTTGGAGGACCCATTATTAAACTTAGTCAAATTATAAATAATCTTTTTTATTACATTTACAATTAAAAAAATTAAAGAAATTAATAATTTTCACAATTTAATAAACATACGTAAAATAAGCTAAATGCTTTAAAGATAGAATGCAAAAAACTTAGAGTATATACATAATGGAAAAATGGTTAGTCATAGAAAAAATATAATATAGATACAAAACTCAGTAAGATAATTTAATATACATATATATTTTTCAATTTATAAAGCTATAAAGTTAATATGAAAGATAATTATAATTTTTAAAATAAAATAAATTCTATAAGAAATTTCTGTTTACATTATTGAATTTTTTGTCTTTTAAATAACAAAAATATTAATTTATATCATAATTATTCTTAAATAACTTAAATAATTCTTAAAAAATCACTAATGATTAATTTTTAAAAATTGTAAAAAGATATTTCATTACATTTATACACGAAGATACTGAAATGAATATTCTAACAATAATTTAATTATTGTAATATATTTTAAACATTTCAAAATATTAATATATATATATTATATATTATGTATGTTATATATAATATTATATATACATATATTATATATGCTATATGTTGTTAGGTTTTTAGAAATAAGTAAGTTTTAAATTTATATATATCTGAAAAATGTTTTTTATTGATAATAAATCAGATAAAAAAATACAAGATTAAATTTTATAAGATAATGTAAGATATTTTCAAGAGTATTTATTTAGTACTTTCAATTATTCTTGTGCTTTATTTATATACTGTCAAGAAGGAACATTGCTGTTTGTATCAAAAGTTTTTTCACTGATTAGACCTAAAGAAAAAAGACAAACTAAAGCAGCACCTTGTTCTGCCCATTTTTTATTTTTTTCCCTTAAAATAATTTTAAAGACATTTTAATAATTAACTTTAATAAAATAAGAATATATAATGTAATATACATATAATTTTTTTATTTATTTATACCAGAAAGATGATCCATATTTCCGTCCATCGACAGTAACAATAGAACGGAATAATTTTCCTTTTTGTTGTGTATTATAGTTTGGCATTTTCTTTCTTTGAGTTTGTGTCCACTTGTGTAATACAGTTTTTGGTAATTCAAGATCTGTTATATAATTATTTCTTAAAAACGCACAATGCATTAAAATTACATCTTCTTCCTCTAAAATCTTCCTTTTATTACATGATTGAACCTGTTTTTCATCTTCTCTCATAGGTGAAACTTGAGATCTTCCTAATAAACCTTTTTCTTCAAATTCCTTTTTCTTCAAATAAAAATAATCACTTAAATCCCATAAATTGCTAAAGCAAGATATTTATAAATGATATTATGTTATCAATTTATAAATAATTGTATAATATAACTCATATTTTAATAATATAACTCATACCATATTTGTTCTAAAGTTTGAGAACTAAGAAACTTTTTGCCTAGTATTGATTCTTGTTGTTCTCTAAGTATATTTTGTATACAATACTTAGTATTGGAAGGTGAATTATCACAATCTACAGCATATTTTAAATATGATTTTATCACATCTTCCATAGGAAGTAAACCTTTTTCACTAAATATTGAACAATTCCATTCAGCTGCACGTGCAAGCATTACACTACTGCATCCTGTTATTTCCTTAAATCTATAAATAACTATAGTTATTTTTAAATTATACAATAATATAATTATACATAAATGATATAAACAACAATATATAATAGAAATAAAATTTAAGTGAACTATTACTTGAAAATATCAGAATATTTCTGTATTTCTTTTGATCCTCCATTTGCTATAACTGGTATAGAAAGTCTATTAGAAATTTTTTTTAGAACTTCATTGCGATTCATATGTTGTGGTCTTTCATGAACAGTACGACCATGAACAGCAATTGCTGCTATACCAGTTGATTGTAAAAGTTCACAAAGTTCTATAGTCTTATCTATATCTGGTAATACACGAATTTTACAAGTTACTGGAATATTCAAATTATCTACTAAAGTTTTCAAAATATTTGTAGCTGTTTCTGGTTCTTTCAAAAGAGCTGCTCCCATTTTTCCTATTAAGGAAAACAGTTTGGGACAACCCATATTTAAATCAATTCCAGCAACATCTTGTTCTACCATTTTAGCTACTTTTAATGCTCTTGCTGCATCACAAGTACCGATTTGTAAAACTACTTTATCTTTCTCTTTGGGACAAGTTCGAAAAGTTACTGTACCATCCGTTTTGTCTATATAGTCAATTGTTCCCAAAACATCTAAAAAAATGTATTTTAAAGTAATTAAGGTATTGTAAAATAATTTTTCTCATTATTCTTTAGATTAAATTATTTTTTAATCTTAATGCTAACATTTTCTTACTAACATTTTCTTACCATTTTCACGACGAAATGATCGTAACAATTTCCAATCTATTAATTCTTCCGTATATACTACATCAGCACCGTAATCGAGTGCAAGAAGACGCATAGGAAGAGTACCTATTCGTACCATTGGTGCTAATATTAGTTTATTCTCATAATTTAGTCTTTTTCTTTCCATTTTTATCATTTTATTAATTGTATTAAATTGTATTGTCAATATGTTGCTATCCTTTCATGGTTTTGAAATATAAATGTTTCTAATTTATTATTTTTTTATTGTCGCATTTATATAATATTTCATTATTATTCAATGATATAAGTTTATTAAGATATAAATTTTTCTTTTGAACATCTTAGTAAATTATAGTAAATTAATAACTCTAAATTTTTCATAACATTATCACACATCAAAATTTTTTTATAATACTATGAACATGCAAACAATGTTATTTCGTTATTACTTAACCAGATGGCAGTTTCATTATGTTTATCGTATATGTGATGTTGATCCAACTTAGTAAGAATTTCTTATTCTGTGATTAATGATTACAATACTTTCAAATTTGAATGCTAAAATCGATTAACTGTCAAATAATACGTTAATAATAATATGGTACAATTTTCTCTTTGTTTCAATAATTTGGCGATTAGTAAATCGCTCAGAATCTTTTATGTATACAAACTATTGTCATAAGAGAATAGTGACCAAAGTAATTGAACGGCAGACAAAGAAAAATTTTGACAATGTTCACACCATCCAAACTTACAGATGCAGATTTGATTGATGTGACCGTATTAAATACTCCTCAACCACAAGCAACTTCGACTGTACAAAGAAAAAACACGTGNTATATATATATAAATCAAATAATAATAATATAAAAATTAATTAATCTTTACAGATTTGAAAGTAAAGTTCCTGATAAAAATATTAATGAACCTATTAATGAATCTATTAGATGTAAAAGTATGACAGAGAAATGTGATGAATCATCTCTTGGTATACTTAATGATATGTCTTCTTGTAAGTTTTTTAAATTATAATATTATATTATGCTTTTTAAAAAATAATAAATTTTTATAGTTTTAGCTGAAGTAAGTGGATTGGAAGAAATAGAAAAATGTGATGAGAATAATTTAAATTCAGAACATGAACTTGTTAGAAAATTACTTCAAAGATGTAGTGATTTAAAAACTACTTTTACTATACATGGTAAAAATTTATTTTTTTTAACATAACTTTTTTATAGATTAACAATGAATATATATTTTTTTGATTTACATTTCAGATATAAATAAAGAAAATGATGTAAATATTCAAAACTTATCTGATAATATTAGTCCTGCACTGATTGATTCCAATCAAATTATTTTTCAAAATGAAAACAATTCACATTCATTTATTAATAAAACAAGTAGTGTAAGTATAATTTTTTTATAAAAAATTAATCAGAATGATTAATTGATTAAATGATTAAATGAATTTCATATTCAGGTTATTTTTGAACCAAATGAGATAAGTGCACGTTCATCAGGATTAAGTAGAAATTCAGAAAAATGTTTATCATCATTATCATCAAGCAAAAACTTAAATACAATAACATTTGATACAACTACTGCTGAATTTATGGCTCAATTTAGTAATGAAGATTTTCGTCCTGCTTCTGAAATGGCTAGTCAATTCATAGCTGATGAAGCTTCTTGGCAACAAAATTATTCCTATGCTCTTCCCACAACTTCTACTGGAAAAGAACATTTAGATTTATCTTGTTTTTCTGGTGTAATTGGTGAACTAGATATATCAGTGGAGTAAGTATAGAATTATAAATATTTTACATTATAATATATTCAAATTTAATACATTATATGATCAAATTTTAGATCTTGTGCTGGACGTAAGGTATCTATAGGTGAATTTTTTAGAAGAAAATGTGGAAATTTTGGAGAATTATCAGATAATGCAGTAGAAAGGCCAAGTTTAGGTTTGTCTATAAATAGTCCAAAAAAAAAAGATCAAATTATACCACTAGTTGATTCAACTATTGTAACAGAAGGTATTATTATTTACTTTATTTATTTAAACAAATATCATATATATATATATATATAAAAAATTATTTTTTTTTATAGATTTTTCAATTGGATCTATTGCTAGTAAAGATAAAACTCAAAATATGCAAAATACGATGAAAGATATAGAAGAACATAGTGTTATGAGTTTGACCAGTATTGCTCAAGCATTACAGGATATTGATAATGGTACACCTAGAAGATTAGTAGATCAACTTATCATGGCAAAAAAAAAAAGGAAATCCTTGCGCATGCAAGAAGAGAATCTAATTAGAGATACTTATACATTAATGCCTTCAAATAGAAAATCTATGCCTATTACTCCAAGTAGGGATATAGATAATTTTAAAAAAGATATAGGATTATTAAATCTTACAACAAAATTATCTCTAGATAGTAAAATCATTAATGAAACTATAGGTATTAAACATTCTATTCCAAGAATGCTTTCATTTGATTCTAACTCAGGTGTAAAAGCAAATGTTGAAGTTGCTTATCAAGAACTTAAGAAAGAAATAAGTAATGAAAAATTACCATCTTCACATAATGAAGGTATATACATTTTATTTTCCAAAAATTTCATTCAACTAACCAATAATAGGTTTAAAATTTTTTTCTATGATTCACTTAAAAAAAAATTATGAATTTTAGATTTTAAATTATTATTGGAAGATTCTAAACTAACTCTTCCA